CAGGTATTTTAAACTTCAAAATAAGTTACCTGTTTCAAATGAGTTTTAAAGAACAGACATTAAAGAAATCTAAGCCTTTTCAAAGATTTTGGTCAATGTTTTCCACCTTAGATGTCTAAAACAAATGGTCCAGATTCTCCCTAGCGGTGCAAGCACACCAGCAGATATGGTATGTAAAGCCCCAGGAAGATCACAGATTCATAGCTTCCCAGGCCAGAAGGGACCATTGTGTTCATCTAGTCTGACCTTCTGTATAACACAGGCCATAGAACCTCCCCAAAATAATTCCTATAGGACATCTTTTAGAAAAACACCCAATCTTGATTTTAAAATTGCCAGTGATGGGGAATCCACCACAACCCCTGGCAAATTGTTCCAATGGTTGATTAGAACATTGACAGTGTATTTCCAATCTGAATGTGTCTAGTGTCAACTTCCAGCCATCATTTTAGTTTAAGAAGATCTCCCAGTGATATGCAACTGGCATAGGGGTTCTTATGACAACCTCCTCCTGGCTGACAGTGTAAAGAGCTTGGCTGAAGCTTCCATGCATCCTGGTGATTCTCAATTACTTACTGGCCTTTTGGGCTATTGGCAGTAGATGGAAGTTAAATCCGTCCTCAGGCTGCTCTAACTTAATGCTGGGAGAATGGCCTGGTGTCCAACCGGCTCAGGAGAACACTCCCTATACTCCCTCTTGTTCATAACTTGCACTGTGAGATGTGTGGCTATGACCAATAGTCTGGGCCAATACTGAGATATGCTGAGCATTCGCCACTAGAGCTGGTTGAAAACCAATTCTGAAAAATGTGTCCCTTTTTTCTCATGGAAAATCTTGAATTTTTCGATGAGCTCTGCTCACCACATTTTGATTTCAATGGGAATAGTTAGTGATCAGCAGGTCTGAAAAATAAAGCCGCTTTTATTTAGGTGTTTAAAATATTGGCACCCATGTTTGAAAATGTTGCTCTTCCTATCTACAATAGTCTACGAAAAATAAATAGAGCTGCTGACACCTTATGGGAAACTTGTCTGTAGACTGTAGACTCATGCATATAATAGCTTTAGTAAATATATATGTATATAGTTATTTCTCCTTTATTCTTTATTACTAAAGAGTTAATTGGATGAATCGGGATCTTTGTTGTGAAAGAGTTTATTGGCACCAATGGAGGTCATAATTCTGTGTGACACTTAGAACTGTGTGAAATACTCACAACCCCAAAACTACACAAAATCCACCTTCAACTTCCATTATAGGATTAGAATTCACACCGTTGCACTGAAAGGATCACAAGGTTTCAGGTGTACCTGGCCCTAGTTAATGAAATATTATAGTTCTCCATCAAAATCATGCAAAGCTAATGCTCATATACATCCAACAACAACACGGGTAAAACTTGGTTTAAGAAGAAAATATTCATATAATTCTAGTCTAGTCATCATTAGCAGCTATGTTAATGGTTATGATACCACCAACTATTATGGGCCAAATTCACTACTGATATAAGTTGGGGTAACTCTACTGGCATCAAGGAACCATCAGATTTTCTGCCTGAGGGTATTATACAAATACAATAAATTATCGTATTATCATGGAGTTGCACCTATTTGTGTCTACTGTCGATTTATCCCCTACATTATTCAGTAAGATAAACACTGGCTATAGAAGAAGAATAAAGAACGTGATTCTGAGTTCATACAAGTGTTAAGGGTGGGCCTAAATTGCAATATCAAAACACCCTTGGTGCTTTGGGGGAGTTCAGAATCCAAACTGCAATGTAATTCCAAATTTTGCAGTTTATTCCTCCTCGCTACAATGGACCAAACAAAAAACCTGCATTTGAATGAAACAAACAAAAAACGTACATTGACGTTTAGAATGTTCAAAATCTGGATCACAATCCAAATTTTGGAGCTAAGACCCGTCTCTAGTTATGGATAGGGGAACAAAGGAGAAAAATTAACGAGATAAACAGTTTTTTTCCCCTAAAAAGAATGTTTGTAAGGCTTTCCATGAGGTATCAGCTGCTCTTTAATACATCACTGTCTGGAACTTATAAAGAAAAGAATCTGAAGACATACCTAAATGCAGGGTTTCTGAGTACTGTAGAAAACAGCTATAGTTTTATTTGATTTAAGCCATTTAAATTTAAGCCTGATTCAATGCAAAACAGCAAAATACAAAATATTAAAAAAATAAACATTAGGTATTTATAATGGAAAGGGCCAACTCGACCTTAACTCTAGCAGTAATATGACATCACTATAATACAATAATTATATGCAATACAACAATTGGTATGTACAGTACAAATAGCTAGGGCTTGATATTTGTGGTAGACCAGTCTCTCAATACCACTAAAATATTAAATACAGCAACTAAAATGTTACACTTGCACCCAGCATTAGTGTAACTTACTAGAAAAGACTAAAAACCATTAGAATTCTATTTCTAAAAAAGCAATAATGAAAACTGCTCTGCACTCTGGAATTCACATGACTAAAAGCAAATCACTACTTTGTAATGTGTCAGGCTGCTCTTTATATTAGCCCATTATCATTGGAAAGGTCAGAAACTTCTACATATGTCCCAAATGTCCCAAGTTCAAACTGTAGTGACAACCAAGTGAACAATGAGATGGCAGAATGCAATCTGAGATATTCAAATCATTGTGCACATCGAAAAAAGGACACCTTTTTACTGAAATTTCCAAGCCCATTCATGTTTAAGCATTTAACTTCCTATAGTCTCTTTGACCAGCAAAGGTTTGAAGGGACTTGCCAAAGGCTCTGGTAAGCATATTCTGGCTTTGTTTTGATATGACAGATCTACATGGTATTTTGTCATCAAATTTTAAAAGTGCAGCTACATACTGGTGTTGAGGCAGAGTCTGGCCAACCACATAACAACAACTCTTTGCACTTTTAAGTGCCTTCCCTCAGAGGATACTGAAGTGCTAGACTAACATTAAGTAAGCCTCACAACATCCCTGTGAGGTAGGTAAAAGATACATAAAGAGTATTTCACTCTACAGACATGAAAATGTCTCTGGGAGGAAAGCAGAAGCTCGTTAACACTGCAACACAAAATGTATAGGGCTTATCAGGAGCAGAGGACTCCCTCTTCTTTTGTAAGGTCACACTAGACACAGAAGGAGAGGGTAGAGATCTGTAGCTCCTGGGCTGGCGCTGTTCTGCTGCATTAACTCATGTCAGTACAGTTAGTAGTAGAGCAGGATACTCAGGGGATGTGGCTATCAGCTCTTGAGGAACAGAGTTCCATAGGAACAAGGGGCTATATTAGAGAGTCTCTTCTCCCCTTACACCACTGTAAGGACTCGTCTGCCAGTTCAATATGCTGATATTGGCTGGTTCCTTGCACAGTGCCCACTTGTGACCCATCTGTGAAAAACTGGTTGAGGATGAGTTACTACTACCATGCTGCATTTTGTGAGTTGAACTGCTGTGTAAAATGTTCCCGACTTTGGGTGGCCACATTCCCCCAGCTGTACAGAGCTGACCTCTCATGTTGCAGAAGGGCCAGAAACAGTTAAATGGCGGGAGCAGAAATACTATGTCTATCCCCACCTCTGAACTACCACAACCCACTTCCTGTGATCTTTCTGTGGTTCTGCTCTTCTCCACACTGCACAGCATGGGAGAATTTTTGGGCCTAAGATGAGAACATCAGTTTTCATTCCCAATAGATGCCACCAATGGTGCAGAATGTAATTAAATGCTAGCAAATTCAGTAAATTGTAGGATTGGGAGGAAAAAAAACCCATATTCATGTTTAGAATTCTGGAATACTTTATGTGAATCACAGGAAAAGGGAAATAGAAGTAGAAGAGTTTTCTTAACAGTAGCCATTACAAATATATATCTGTATTTAATGTTAAAAAAAGAGTTGGCAAAAATGATAAGAGCGTATTTGAGTGAAAATATCACTCAAATGCTGACACAATCATGGAGTATCTAGGTTATTTGTCTTTTATATTAGATCATCACAGAGGCTGGCCTTCCATGTGCAAGATAGCTTTACTGGTTAATTTTGTGTTCATGGATCCAGGTTATTCTCCTCTTTTGCCTATATCCATTTGAGTTTGATGAGTATTTATGATAGTTGTGCATTAGCAGCTGCGTAATTACTACACCGATTGAGTAACACATCCAGAATACCACTGCCTCATAAAATCACTCAGAGGAGGTGGTTTATGGATTTTGTCCAAGCAGCTATGCAAAGTTCTCATCATAAACATTGTATACATCTACGATTAGAGCTTTAAAATGTTTTTTTTCACTGATCAGCAGTGAATATAATTAGCTTATGAAATTACAGTGTACTGGGTGAGTGGTGTCTCTCAATGTATGTACACTTTATTTAAATGCGGAAATGGGGAGACTGCATATATAACAACTGGCAACTCAAAAATGAGTTGGCATCCCTATAATCATTAAGAGACAATCTGAGTGCTGAAATGATTGGCATCTATCATGTAAGGATGACTTTACATCTCATGCCGCCCCTGTGTTTGGAGCCCTACAAACTTTCCTCTCCTTTTTTCCATTACTTCTGTTCATTGCAACACTGATTGTCATAGATAGTCTTTGTGCTTTTGCATAATGCCCATCTTTGATGTAACAGGAATTCACATACAAAACTTGGTCATTATAAGTAAGCATGCTGGAATATAGGCAGGGACCATACAACCATGCACAAAATACTCTTTGAAGTTTTTTCAAACTGACGGTAACATTTACATGCACCACTTAATATCATGTTTGGTCATGTACACTGAGGACTGGATTTCACAAGCATTCATGACCGCCTCTTCTTGCAAGAGTTCCTTTACAGTTTTAATAAGAGCCCAGTGCAAGAAAACTCCCTGCAATTCTGATCTTGTCTTCACCATTTCAATGTCAAACGCTCTCAGATTTTCACGTATTGCACCTCCTCTTGCACAACTTCCCATTAAATGGTTAGTTAGAAACAGAGATTAGTGTATCAGGGATTTTCTTAGCCACTGGAATAGTTCTTCTTTATAAAGCATTTGCCACCGTACATTGGCTTCCACTGTTTCCACAGCTCGAGAGAAAGAGGAGGCAGCTCCTTCCTTGTAGCTCTTTATAAAATTCTTCAGCTGGAAATACAATTTAAAATCAACAATTTAAAATTGAACTGAAGTGAGGAACTCTTTTCAATGCATGTAAACAAGTCAGATATTTAGGACAAAACTTTACGATCACTGCTGAAGTAAATGTAATATCATGTAGAGAGATTTATTGCAAAATGCAATAAGACAGCAGACTGTGTCAATTAGGTGTGATGTGCTTGCTTCAAATTGCACTGTAAGATATTGACATGTCAATGCCGGATCACATTAATATCATCTCCTCGTTCTCTCTTGTAGCCCAGCTGCTACACTTTGCAGACAGCTGGTCTGCTTTGAAGTTTTACTCCTACTTAAGAAACTAAATTGGGAGTGTTGGAAATGCTCCCAGTTCAGCTTTATAAGCAAAAGTCAAACTGAAACAGCCCTGCTGCCTCTAAAGAGGGTTGATTTAATTAAACATTATAATGGATGTTTAACTTAGCCTTGCAGAACTACTTATGTTACTGCTGTATAGATTGATTGTTTAGAGGAGAGTGGATCAATTTAAGAAGTTACTGACCATAGCTACATGTGAAGAACCTACCAAGAGCCGTATGTTGCTAATTATTCTCAGATTTTGGACTACTGAAAAAGATTCTGTTACAGGAAAACTTTGGTTTTGGTCAGCAAAAAGCTCTGACTTGTATGATAGTCAGATTTGGGTTGCAGTAGATGTGGCATCAGAATTTGAGTTGCTTTTAATTGCACTGATTCTCATTGGATTAATATTAGATTTAGACAAAGACGTGGTAGGGTGGCCTGCGCTCCATGTTGGTGGTAACCTCATATGTCAAATTGTTGATTTTTAGGAGAGGGTGTTAATAGTTGGCAAAAGTTTCTCTCCTGGTGAGGCTAAATTCCGTGCATTTATTGACACTTGACCTTAGACTATAGCATTTTATGCATTTGTTTAAAGCTAACGGGTCTGATCCTGCAACTGAGGTGCTCAACAACTTCAGTTCCCACTAGCCTTAACAGAAATTACAGAGGGTGCTTAACACCTCACAGGAGGTGCTCTGCATCTTTTAGGAGCAGATCCTATATTTGCACTCTTTTTTACTGATATACTTTCATGGCCAGCTTGTCTCAGGGGAAATGGAGCAGCCTACCAATGTTATGGAGGTGATAACCCAGAGTGCAGCACGCCCTTGCCCAGTGTCTCGATATTGACAACAGGCTGGTATATCTCTCCCAAATGGATGGCCTTGGGGAAGCCAGCTGGGGCTATTCCTTGAGTTCTGAGTTTTCAAACCTGGAGTGCACAGAAGAGTACAGCATAGCCATGAAGGCTGTAACCAGCCTTTGGTTAGCCATGACTACATTGTGTACGAATCGTTTAATCCATGTGAGATGATACATGGCAGCTGCTAAGCTCACCACAAAACTACCACACAACCTCAGACAGGCAGGTGAAGGATACATTCAATTCAAAGATCGGGCTAATTTAGGCAGGATGTATATAATTACTGAAGTAGAATCTGGCCAGAATGCCACGGTTAACAGCTATCCCCCTCAATACTTGAAGTATTGATGGTGAAGGAACAGGAGACAGAACATGGGCATTGTCCGCTACTCTTATTACAAAACATGGAGCTTTTAACTTTCTCTACAGCATCTACCTAAAAGGGATATAAGAGGCCAGTGTTTAACATCTTGACCAATGTATGGCACCTCTAGCAGCACAGCCCACCTAGTACTGTAGTACTGTTCTAGTCCTAGTGCAGAATTTGAGCCATAATCATCTGTCCCAAAGTCAGAGAACTGAGAAATAGTTTACATATAAGCTTATAGTCCTATAATATTTCAGAAATGCTAAAAATCCCAGTTTAAAGTCACATGCTTGGTTCCACAGCCACAAACTGTAGGGAGAGCAATAGAACAGGAACGCACAGTGGTGGCTTCAGCATTAAGACCAGAATAAGTTTAATACTGTCATGCAGCAGAGAAGGAGTTGCCTGCTTTATCTCCCTCCACCCACAGACCCCGCCCAGGATCCTTGTCAATCTGGTTTAACAGACTACAGAACATTACCCTCTTGCTGTCCAGTAGCAGGACGGGTCTGTGTCACCTGCTAGGCACCAAGAGTTGCTAGATGCCTGGATCCTCCTCCTAGTCCTGCAGTGCCTGATCATACTGAGTGAGAGAACCCCAAAGTAACTCATAACCTCCCTAAGCCACTGTCAGTTCCCACAGAGCAGAAAGATTTTTTCAGCCCCTATGATCTTTGCATCTGCTTTCATCTTGGTGCTACTACAAGACTTAAAGGGTTAAGATCCCAAGACTTAAAAGGTTAAAAAAAAATAAGACAAAAACAAGTTCAAGCACTGAGATGCATGTAATATTTACCTCATTTAGTTCTTCTTCAGTATTAAGGAATTCTGTGACTCCACTGATAAGTTTGGAATTCATAAATAATGCTTCTCCATATCTTCAAGGGCAGAAAAACACACATATCAAATTAATGTAAGTATATCAACTGAATGAAAGTATTTGATTACACAGATTTCCATTCAAGGACTATAGCCAGTTCAAAATTCAGTAATGCTAACTACTGGTCCATACAGACTGCAAAGCCAAGAGGCAGAAGACTAGCCAGTCTAGGGAAAGGGCATGTGGCACCTTTGCAGATGAAGCCTTAAAGCATACTTTTTTTTTTAGTTTTGTGCTCTCTTTTCCATTTTTCCTTACCCATCTCATTTGCATAACTAGTAGTCGTTACATAAATGAGCTGAATCTGGTGGTCTCCTTCCAGTACTTAAAGGCTTGTTTAAAGATGAAAGTTAATCTGGTATAAAATAGCGTGTGAATTTAAAGCGGACTAATTATTCCTGATTAGCTCTCTGTGGATGCTCTTATTCCAGAATAAGAGTGTCCCTAGATAGAGTTAATCAGCAATAGTTATTTCACTTTAAATTCTCAATTCAGCTTAATCTAAATTAACTTTCCTGTATAGCCCTGCAAAAGAGGTACCCAACCAATGAAAATATGATGCCTTGGATGCTGGGTGTCTGAAGCCAAATTTGCGTCTTGCTATTGCTGTTGAATATACTGTACTTCACTGAACTGTGCTATTCCACATTCACTTACTTTGAAAGCGGTTATTAAAACACCACTCATTCCACTGCTTGTCTGAAAGTTCTAGTGTACCCAATTAAAAAAAACCCAATCTACATCCGTTAGGCTAAAGATAAACCAAGGAAAAGGATGGCTCCTGGGTTTTTGCATTACACATGGAAGAATCTCTTTAAAATCTCTGTGATGTGAAGTTGCATTCTAAGAGTAGCCAAGCAGTATTTTATCAGGACTTGCATCATTCAACATAGCAACAGTTATCTGATTAAAACTACAGTGAACTAGTCCTTAAAACACCACTTAATTTACCTACCTCCATCTGGACATAATTGTGTTTAAAAATAGAGAGCCCAAATCTGACTTCATATATGTGCACACATATGGGTTTATCTGAGGGCAGAATTGGGCTCACACATTTGCTTTCTCCGAACAGATTTGGAGAACCAACTCATACTTCAAATTGAAAAGTTCTAGCACAACCACAGGCTTCTTTTCTGTTTATATCAACCTTATACTAAAATTAATTACTCTTAACCTTGTAGGTAGTGAAAGCCAGAGAGTCTTTAAAAAAATGAAAGCTCTATTTAAATAAATGTAAAACCCTGAAAAAGAACTTGCTGTGTTGGAAAAGTTTCTATTTTTGAGGGGTAAGTTCCTTTGCTTATTACCTGGAACTTCTGTGTAAGGAACAGTGTTGCAGATATCAAAATTCCTACTCCCTGTTCACCAATAACTGAATTATTCATGGATATTTCAGCAAGCACATCTCTTTTTCCAAAGCTTCAATCACGCTTACATACACAGACATCCAGTTGCAAATGTTTCATATGGGAAGACATATGGACTTCATGATCTTTTAAGCATGTTTAGGCTTTCAAACAAAGCACTCTATGGTTACCTTCGCAACTCAGCCCCATAATTGATTGTTTGGAAAACTGGAAGCACCTCTTGATGGGGCCTTTTGACAAGGTTACTAGTCCACTTCACAGAAGTGACCTCATGAAAAGAGTGCAGGGATTTTATTTTTCAAGCAGTCTGCACTGTTTCCACAGTGTAAACAAGTAGTAAAATTTATTTTTTCCTTGAAAACTAAGCCTTGTGAATTACTGCACTGTTTACTGTGGAAAAGAACCTCCTCTTTCAACTACTGAGCTTGACAAACTGTCACAAAAAACAGTAATGGCATTACAGAACCAGCAAACAAGTGTTTCTGCCTCGCAGAAGCAGTTCATCTAGGAATGGTGGGAGTCTTCTCCTGCTCCTTTATTTACAGGGCCTGATTTTCTATTACCTTGCGACTTTTCTAGCTATTTCACCTGTGCAAAGTGGGTGTATAATACTACTGGGTTTGTGTAGTAGTATTTCTCGCCTACTTTGGACAGATGCAAATGAAATCAGAGGGCAGAGAGGAATCAGGCCCATAGTAAGGAATGTAGGGATAGCTATTTTCAGACGTTGGATAAAATTTTCAAAATTGTCTAAGGATCCTGCGTCCCATTTTCTAAAGTGAATTGGGAATTTACGGGCCTAACCCCCTTTAATTTGTAGTGAGACTTAGGTTAGGTTCCTCAATACCTACATCACTTTTGAAAATAGGATTTAAGCACTTTTGACAATTTTGCTCATTGGTTGAGGGGTGTGACAAATATACTTTAAAATGTCATGAAAGAATAATATTTTGGTGCTGTTGTTTCATCCAAATGACACACAGTATTGCATAGTCATAGAAAATGGAGTTTTAGCATTATTTAATTGTCCGTGGATACCTCATATTACTGTATCAAACTGCTAAGTATTTCATAATAAATTCAATGGGAAATACCATAGAGATGATCAAAATATTTAATAAAATGACATATCTAGTAATGACAAAATAAACATTGTGAAAAAGGATATCTTGGGACAGTATGTTGCCTTGATTAAATGTCTGCAATGAAATGTTGCACAACTGATTGTGCAACTGAACTCACATTTCTAAAAGGTCCTGGTATCACAAAAATTTAAGATCACTGTCATACATTCCTCAGTCAGTATCAGATCTTGGGTGTTTCACTGCATATTTTTTTATGATGCTTTAAGCGACCTTTCATGGAAGGTTTTAATTGCCTGTTACAAAATTTATATCCATGACATGTTGGAGTCATTTCAGTCTATCAGGATTATGCAATAAGAGCTCTATGTATTACTCGAGTGAATCTACCCCGCCCTAGCCTGCCACACTCTGTCCATGTGCACCCTGCTGACATACATTAAACAGTTCACTTAAATGCTTTCGTCTGGTCCTGTTTCAAAGAGGACTAGATCAAAGTGCATTAATGAACTGTTAATTCATGTCAGCAAGGTCCACATGGATAGTCTGAGTGTGCCAGGATAGTACAAGGTAGATTCATGCCCCAACTTGCCGCAAACTCAATGTTTGTGTAGACAAGTCCTAATTTGTATTTAGGGACCAGCACAGTATTGAGTAGCCCCAAGATTGGCGTAGTACAAAGCTGGCCCTGAGTCAAGAACAGGGCCCTTTGTCATTTCCCCATCAAAAGGGAGATAATGAAGTTCCCAACCGCACAGGTGCATTGTGAGGCTAAGTTCCTTACTGCTTGTAAGGCACAAGGATACCATGGTGGTGGGTCCCTTCGGAAAAAATTGGCTTGGGGGACTTTGTTTTAAAAAGTTTGCTCCTGGACTAAAACCTCCAAAACCAAATTTCTGCTCAAAGCCAATTTTCCTAGCTGAACTGAACTCCCATAAAATCTGCTAGCCCCCAAAATCCTAACCAAAGCATCATGGACAGCAAACATAAGGCCAAATTCTACACTCTTTGAGAAAGATTCACTAATACGGTGTTTCCGACAAATCCTCCTATCGCTATGGTGGTGGTTATGGTGGTTTTGACTGTCCATGGAGCAGACATGAGGTGTGGGCTCTCTTAACCTGGTTATGTCCAGTTATCTGCAGTGAAATCCTGCTGGTCTTGGAGACATCCAAAAAGAACCAAGAATATCTCCAATTAGTTCCCTACCTGCATCTAGATCAAAATCCCCCCCAGGTGAGTTTTAAGAGCATGGATGGGGATTCTGAGTAATGTTGTAAGAGTCCAAATTATATTACACAGGGAAACAGTTGCAGCTATGGGGCACAGCACACCACAGAGAGTGGCTTTCCAAAGGTCTCCCCCTCCTGCTTGGCCAGGTATACCTTCATCCAAAAGGCTGGCCCTTCAAAGGAGTGAAGATTGTGTGTAAAGTTACCATAAAGTTGGAGGGACAGTGAAAGATGTCCCATTGTACTCAGCACCCCTCCATTCCATAAAAATTGGGGCATTTCAAAAAGATTCTCTCCACTGTCCTGCTCCCATGTTCTAAAGCAGATTTTTCAATCAGATTTAACTCAGGCAAAACTCCCACTGGGAGGTTTTTTGTCCAGGATGTGGTCTACACTTACTTCCTGGTTCGGCGGCAGATAATCGATCTTCTGGGATCGATCCCGGAAGTGCTCGCCGTCGACACCGGTACTCCAGCTCGGAGAGAGGAGTACGCGGCATCGACGGGGGAGCCTGCCTGCCGCGTCTGGACCCGCGGTAAGTTCGGACTAAGGTACTTCGAATTCAGCTACGTTATTAATGTAGCTGAATTTGCGTACCTTAGTTCGAAGTGGGGGGTTAGTGTGGACCAGGCCTAAGTAAGAACAGGGCTGTTGGATTTGACATACAGCACATATAATCAAAAAGACAATACAGTAATGGACAAATATATAGATGATATACATAGATAGATACATCTATGAATAGCTTTATGTCTATATAAAATATATTTTATACACACATCTTTGCATTAGATAGATCGATAGATCAATAGATAGAGCTATATATGAACAGAAAGAGAGTGGATTAGATATAGAAATGGGTAGTTAAAATATCTAGAGAGATATAGAAAATAAGACACTACAAATAACTATTATCTTTACCTGGCATTTAGTATTTTCCATTTTTCTCTGAAAAACTTCCAAGCAAGATCTCTGCCATGTGGATTTCGAGCTACGTGGATTATGACATCAATTGCATCTTGATCCAGGACAACTTCTGAATTGAGAGACAGGTTCAGAAGCCTTTAGGAGTGAGTCGAGGGGGAAAAAAAACTGTTTAGTTTTTGCCAATAAGATCCATAAAGCTCGTCATCTAACAATGAAACAGCAAAGACCAGAGATTGCTAAAAGATTTATTTAAATTGCCAGGAGAGCTCTGTTTTTTATTTGTGAGATTCCAAAGATCACACATACTTCTGAATAAAAAAAAACCCTTCAGTCCTGCAACTGGATTGTGAGTTCTCTAGAAGTAGGAAGATATTTAAGCATAATTGCAGGTGGAATATTTTCAATGAAAGCTGAGATAATGTGAAATGCTCTTGACTGCATGTATCTTTATGAACTCTACACTGAGACCATGTTGATCAAAAAGTTGCCTAAGTGAACCTGGCCCTATTTATGGTTTAGAAGTGAAATCATGAAAAATTCATGCATTTGCAAGGGTCTCAATACAAAACCATGTGACATTCTAACTAGAAAATGATTCTGTGCTCCAAAAACAGGCTCTCTCATTTACAGATAAATGCTGAGATGGGGAAGCAATATCATTACTGCAACAGTTATCAATGACAAAGAATCAGAAACACATAAATAGATACTTCCACCTGTTTAACAAGTTTCTATCATCACTGCAAGTTAAGGCTTCTAACAATATTTTCTTCTCAGATACCGCTGTGGTTGAATGGAATTTCATCCAAATGAACTCCCATACATCTTCATCCATCAGTGAAACTCCTGTACAGTAAACGACGTCTCTGACGTTTAGTGGGATTCTAAAAAAGCAACCCATAGAGCATTGCATTATTAAGGAGATTCAGAGTAATGAAAAGGGATATAGGACATTACTACTTTAATTCCTGTAAAACTCCAAAAAAGTATAACAATTACGAACTTTTGGTAAATTACACTTATCTTCAGAGTTTTCCCTTCACTGATAACTTCCAAAATCATATATTGAATTGGTAAAATTTCTGGTAGCATAGCATAGCATATGCCTGGAATTCCTTTCCTCAACCCATCCATCACAACTCTATAGGTGTGTAAAGGTATAGTCTTATAGCTTCCTAACTCGCAAATGTACCATATAAGTACAAAGGCACATATATTAGCCTTCTAACTCAGCACACAGATTTGTGCATAACAAAGCCAGACGGGACCACTCTGATCATCCAGACAGCTCTCTTGTGTATAACAGGCCATAGAACTTCCCTGAATTCATTCCTGTTTGAATTAAAGCAGATCTTTTAGACAAACATCCAAGATTTATTTAAAAATTGCCAGTGACAGAGAATCTGTAACAGCTCTTGGTAAGTTGTTCCAATGGTTAGTTGCCTTCACTGTTAAAAAATTGTGCTTTACTGCTGGTCTGAATTTGTCTAGCTTCAACTTCCAGGCATCAGATCTGATACCTTTGTCTGCTAGATTGAAGAGCCCATCATTAAGCATTTTTGCCCCATGTAAGTGTTTACAGACTGTGATCAAGTCACCCCTTAACCTTCTCTTTGTTCAGCTAAGTAGAGTGAGCTCCTTCAGTCTATCACTATAAGGCATATTTTCCAATCCTTTAATCATTCTTGTAGCTCTTCTCTGAACCCTCTCTAATTTACCAACATCTTTTTTGAATTGTACAGACCAGAACTGGACACAGTATTCCAGCAGCTGTCGCACCAGTGCCAAATACAGCAGTAAGATAACCTCTCTATACTTCAACTCCAGGTCCACTTGTTTATGCATCCAAGGATTGTATTAGCCCTTTTGGCCATAGCATTGCATTGAGAGCTCATGTTCAGCTGATTGTCCACCACAATCTCCAAATCTTTCTCAGACTCACTGCTTCCTAGGATAGAGTCCCCCACCCTGTAAGTATGGCCAAAGATCTTTGTTCCTAGATGAATACATTTATATTTAGTCATATTAAATTACATATTGTTTGCTTGCGCCCAGCTTAACAAGTGATCCAGATCGCTCTGTGCAACTGACCCCTGTTCTCTTTAGTATTTACCTCTCTCCCAATTTTTGTGTCATCTGCAAATTTATCACTGATGATTTTATGTTTTCTTCCAGGTCATTACTAAAAATGTTAAATAGTGCAGGACCAAGAACTGATCCCTATGGGACCCCATTAGAAACATACTCATTTGATGGTGATTGCCCATTTACAATTACATTTTGAGACCTATCAGTTAGCCAGCTTTTAATCCATTTAATGTATGCCCTGTCAATTTTATATTATCTAGGTTTTTTTAATCAAAATGTACCCAGATGCCTTGCAGAAGTCTAAGTATATTAAATCAACACTATTACCGGTATCATCCCAATTTATGATCTCATTAAAAAAATGTATCAAAATAGTTTGACAGCATCTTTTTTTCTATAAACCCATATTGACTGGCATTAATTATATTACCCTCTTTTAATTCTTTATTAATCAAATCCCATATCAACAGCTCCATCATCTTGCCTTGCATGGAAGTCAGATTGACAGGCCTATAATTACCCAGGTCATCCCATTTACCCTTTTTAAATGTCAGCTCTTTTAAAACTCTCGGACACAAGTTATCCAGACCGGCTGATTTTAAAATGTCAGACTTTAGTAGCTGCTGTTTTACATCCTCCTGAGTGTGGAACAGAAAGAGAGGGTTACCATATGATATAACAACATTATCTTTCCCCCCCAAATACAGTAGAAATTTTTTTATAGAACACTTCTGCCTTTTTTGCATTATTGATAATTCTACCTTTTCAATCTAGTAATGGACTGATACCATTGTCAGGATTCTTTTTGTTTCTAATATACTTAAAAATTCCTTCTTATTGTCCTTAACTCTGCCAGCCATAGAGTTCTCCTTGTGTCTGTCTGTTTCCCTTATCAATTTCCATAATTCTTAGTAATGAACGTAAATCAGAAGCTATCAACGTCCCCTTTTTTCCATTTAATATTTTCTTTTATTTCTTATAGCTGCCTTCACTTCCTCACTAAACTGGGTTGGCTTTTTAATCTAATATACCCTTCTTCCTTGATTTTGACTTTTTGGGCAGCTAGTAAAGTGTTCTTACACAATTCCCAATTATCATTCATATTTTTCTGATTAAATTCTTCCTACCAGCTGATTTGGCTCATAATTGTTTTCACGTTTGTGAAACTGTTCCTTTTAAAGCACCAAGCAGGGCTTAAATTCAGCCAGAGCCCACTAGAGCAGAGGTCCAGTGAATGTTTTGAAACCCACAGAAGCCCTGGCATCTCCTGCAAGGCAGGAACCCCGGCACCTGCTGCCAGGCTAAAGCCCCAAGAGCCCTGGCGCCTGCTGCGGGGTTAAAGCCCTGAGCCCCAGCGCCTACCACGGAACTGAAGCCTCGAGCCCCGGCGCCTGCCATGGGGCTGAAGCCACGAGCCTCGGCATCTCTTCCCCCGTGGGTCTGAAGCCCTGAGCCCTGGTGCCTCTCCCCCCACAGTCTGGGCTGAAGTCCTGAGCCCTGGCACTGCTCAACCCCCATGGAGCTAAAGCCCTGAGACCCCCACCCCACAGCGGAAGCCTGGAGCCCCAGGTCTGTGGGGCTCCAGGAAATAATCTCTGAGAATTTAAGCCCTGGTACCAAGTATATATTTCACTGGTTTGGACTTTATTCTGTGTGCACATTATAAATATGATCAAAGTCATGATCGCTTGTACCCAAGTTATCATTATTTTTTAGTTCAGTTCCTCTTTATCTGTCAAGACGAGGTCTAATGTAGAATTTCCCCATGTTGGATGCAATACTTTTTGAGTTAGGAAATTGTCATCTATAATTAGAAATTCTAAAGACGTTTTAGTACTTGCAGCATGAGACCTCCAGCATATGTTACTCCAATTGAAATCCCTTATGATCACACAATTTCCCCCCCTACACATTATATATAGGTGCATAAGGAGCCAGTCATCATGTTCCCTAGTGTGATTTGGTGGTCTGTCGCAGACACCATCTAATAACCATCTTGTGCTTTATATATTAAGACACTGATCCATAAACATTCAAGATCATTTTCTTCCGTTATTGTGCTATGTAGCTAAGCAGCTGATGGTGTGATGTCATCTGAATAAATACTGCCTTATAGTGATATTGCTGGGAGAAAAGTAAATACATGGAGACTCATCTAACTGATCAGCATGCCAATGGGTAAATCAACTATGCAATAAAGTCAGTCGGTTGACGGACAGCTCAGATAATTTAATCTCAGACCATCATTTACTGAAGCAGTCTCACAGAGCCAAATTCACAACCTGGCACAGCAGGTACAGTGGTACCAATAACATACATTAGCAACTGAGTTTGGCTCTCAGACTCTACTATCCTCTTTCTCATTTCTGATGCATGTTTATCAGGTGTAACATTTTCCACTGAAAAATATTTTTACTGATAAAAATAGAAACTTCTCAGAAAAATGTATGTCTGCTTTGCTGAATATTTCCTTCCTTATTATTACAATTTCTACCAAAAATCTAATGCTTCCAGTTACTATTGCTGGGCTAAAATGTCTGGGGTGCAGCATACTGCAATAGCCATTTAGAAATTTGAAAAAAGACTGTCATTATGGATACTGTCAAACAAATATCTGAGTTGCAGTATCATGATACTGAAAGACTGAGTGAAATTTTCTTTGTAAATTTTATTATAGCTTACACTACTGCCAAAGTTACAGTGAAGGTCACATCGAGACACGCTCATTAAAAGCCCATTTTTTTCCACCTACTCAGAACCTTCAGAAACATTTTTTGTGGGCTGAAGCTTTCTATTCTTAGCCTCAACTCAATGGTGAGTTTTATTGTAATATTTCAACAAAATCCCTTTGGTCATGTTTCAATCATTGGGAAGTGAAGATAATATGCCTTTTCAACATTTAATGCTTCTATTGCTTATCGGTACATCAAGAGAAGTAGGAAAAAAAGCCTCCAAACCATATATTGGCCACTGAGACAAGGCAAAGGCATTGTAACTCTAAAGGGTTAAGAGAGGTCCCAGCAGAATTATGTCTTAGCCTATAATAGTTCCCTATATGGTTACAGAACCATGTTGTCTTATCCACATTACCAACAAACCACTGTGTGAGAACCCAGCCATCCCTAACCATGACAGACAACCTCGCATTCGCATGGTTATACTTACAGCATAGGCAAGTCCTATCTGTCTAATTGAAACAGACACAGCACAAACCTCCAAAAAAAAAAAAAAATCAAATTCAGAGTCTCTTGCTGGTGTTGCTGCTTTCCTTCACCCATTACTTTTTAAACATTCTGTAACTCTCCTAACATTGGTGGAGCTCAGCCTGTGCCCAACCTACACAAGTGATTCCTTGGTTGCTAATACCGGTGGAGATGCATCAATGCTAGACTAGGAGTAGGAAAACTGCCTAGAATTCTTAGTGTAGACAAGGCCTATGTTATCAGAAGCTGTCTCCAGACAAACTTTCTAACTGTAAAGATAGCTAAATACTGGAATAGGCTTTCAAGGGAGGTTACGGAATCTCTGTCATTGCAGGTTTCTAACAACAGATTGGACAAACACCTGCCAGGGCTGGTCTAGGTATACTTGCCTCTGCTTCAATATGGAGGGCTGGACTAGATGACCTCTCAAGGTCTCCTCCAGCTCTACATTTCTATGATTCTGATTCTTAAATAGTAGCAGTAAAGGTGTGAACTTCTCACTTCTACCAGCCCATTCACTTCAATGAGTTTTAAACGTTATTCTCCAAGCCTTGTTCATCTCAGGGAGGTGTGAATTTAGGGTGAGATTTTTC